AGGGGGCGTGGGCTCGCCGGCTGAGTGGCCTGCGCCTTTAAGGGGCGGGGTGGGGCCCAGTGTGGCGGAAGCGGATTGGCTGGGAGGCGTCCCGGAAGTGGTTCTCGGAGAAGCCCACGTGGATGAGTCGAACCCACATGGCGGTGCTCTTGAGGACGCTGCTGCAGCCAGGGAGGCCCCCGGGAGTCTTGGGGCGCTCCCTGGGACGGCGTGAGGCCAGCCTGGGCACTGGTTCTGGGGCTGCGGTGCGAGTGCGGTTCGCCCCCAGCCCCACAGGTAATCTTAGGGGACGTGACGCTGCAGGCCGAAGCCCATCGTCCGGTCCCCGCCCCCAGAATGTTTTCCAACGAACCCCTTCCGGTGGATTAGCCTGGGAGGGCAGCGCGACCCCATTTTGAACGGGCAGAAACAGGTCCAGGAGCGGAAATTGTTCCCGTGGCCAGGAATTTCGTTGTTTATTGGGTTGCACCTCTCTTTCGGTCTTTTTTTCACGTATTCAGTAAATGTGTACTAAGTACACACTGCGAGGTACTGTTTCTCTGCGATACAATGACCATCTAGAAAGTAGGGCCCCTACTCTGGTGGCCGCGGCAAACGTGCACAAAAATACTGTAATTCTAGGCAGTCGCGTGTGCCACATGGGAAATGAAGCAGGAGAGGTGACGGGTTAGTTTAGGTAGGATGCTCAAGCACATCTTGTTGAGGAGGTGACATTTGATCTGAGAACCAAATGACAAGAATGCAGTGGATAGGAGGAACCTGAGCAGAGGAAATTGCAGGTACACAGGCCCCGTGGCTAGTGTTGGAGCTAAGCAAGCCAACGGGAGTTCGGGGCCCACTGTATACTCCAGTGGAGATGGTGTCAGGGCCTCCGCACCAGTCCCCAGAACTGAGCTCTCTTTTGTTAGCCCCTGCTGAGTTAGAGTCCTGTTTCTTGATTAACCCTTTCACGCACCAGTTCCCAAAATTCTTTTCTCACGAGGCTGCCTCTGCCTTCACAATGAACCTGCCTCTCCTGAAACCCAGGGTCAGTATATAAGGCTGCCTTTGTGGCAAGATCCCAGCTGCACAGAGCGACGGGATTACGGATCGGTACTTTTATAAAATTAGTATAAGTGGATTGCTAGAAAAATGAAAACCTAAAAAGCATACAAAATATGATCCTACTTTGTTTAATTAAACAGGAAATTGTCCTGTCAAACTGCTGCTCTCAGCATTTTGCTCTCAATTTCTGTGCTTTCTTGCAACAGTTTGCAGACCAGCACTGGTTTGGGAGCCAAAGCCTGAGATTGGGTACATATTTTTGGCTTTGCCACTTCTTCCGAGCTGTGTGACTTGGAGAAATTACCCAGAGGCTCTGAGTTTATCTGTCAAACAGGGCTAGTGATAGTACCCAGCTCATGGGTTTGGATAATGTAGCTGAGGCTCTTAACAAGGTCTGGTACTTATAGAAAGCACTTCATAAACAGTAGCCTCTATTTTGATTGTTGTTATTACTGTTTTCTTGCTGATTTGCAGGAGCAGCCCATATGACAAAGGCTGTGGACTACAGGCAGATAAAAGGATTATCAAGCAACATATGTCATTACAATAGCTAAAATTCACTGAAGGGTGTTCTTTGGTCAGCATTTAGGCCTCATAGCAACCCTATCAGGAACGTGTCTATTTTTTGTTTTTAATCCCTCTCATAGATGAGGAAATGGAGCTCATCCAAATTAAGTCAAAGGGGTACCAGCTAGTAAATGGTGAATGCAGGATTTGAATCCAGGTCTGTGTACCTGTAAGAGGTCTTGCTTTTGCCCTAACCGGTTTGGCTCAGTGGATAGAGCAGGGGTCCTCAAACTTTTTAAACAGGGGGCCAGTTCACTGTCCCTCAGACCGTTGGAGGGCCGGACTATAGTTTAAAGAAAACTATGAACAAATTCCTATGCACACTGCACATATCTTATTTTGAAGTAAAAAAACAAAACGGGAACAAATACAATATTTGTATTTGCATGTGGCCCGCGGGCCATAGTTTGAGGACCCCTGGGATAGAGCGTCGACCTGCGGACTCAAGGGTCCCAGGTTCGATTCTGGACAAGGGCATGTACCTTTGTTGCAGGCACATACCCAGTAGGGAGTGTGCAGGAGGCAGCTGATCGATGTTTCTCTCTCATCAATGTTTCTAACTCTCTATCCCTCTCCCTTCCTCTCTGTAAAAAATTAATAAAAAAAAATCTTAGGAGTTTAAATTGAGGTGAAGAGAAATGTGGAATCAAACGTTACTTTTGGTTCGAGTTTAAAGCCAGCACTTAATGTAAAAATCTCAAGTAGACAAAATTCAAAATGTATAATGAGGATAGTCATGACAGTGCATAGAGGGTGTATGTAAGATATCATTTTATGGTATTTTAAATTTGTAATTAACTTTTTCCAAACACATCATTGAATTTGCATAAGTTAAATGCACATGTGACAATGGCTTCAGTGGCTCAGCCTCTGCCTCTTCTCCTTTGGGTGAAACTTGGCCTTGAGGCAAATCTCAAAGTAGGGTGATGGTTGCATTTGGAAGGAGTTGGAGCCTTTTTACAAAATGGCCTACCAAACTTGGGTGGTCTCCCTGTTCCAGAAAGAGGGGCTGAATGAGTCATCACCCCGTCCTCTGTGCAGTCTGACTGTCCAGGTGCTAGCTGGAGAGATGGGACGAAGGTAGCGGTTTCTTGGGCTTTGATGTTCTTTGAGACATTCTGTTACAAACAGAGCTTGCTTGCCCCTCTACTGAGGCTCGTCAGCTCACATTCCCTGTCTTCTGAGCTGTTCTCTTCTCCCAGGCTTCTTGCACCTGGGTGGCCTCCGCACTGCCTTGTACAACTACCTCTTTGCCAAGAAGCACGGAGGGAGCTTCATTCTGCGGCTGGAGGACACGGACCAGACCCGCCTGGTGCCCGGGGCAGCGGACAACATTGAGCACATGCTGGAGTGGGCAGGTGAGGCTGGCTGGGAAAGGACTGCAGGCTTCCCCCAGCTCCCAGGAGGGAGAACAAGGGGTTCCTGGAGAGAGGGGGGCGTTTGTGCTGCCTGGGGTGGCAAGTGCCACCTGAACAGAGACTTAAGCTCCCTGAAGAAAAGCTCCAGGCTGTTTTGAGATTCCTGTTCTTATCCCGGAATCTCAAGTCCTCCTAGGAGCAGGCAGGCATAGGCCAAGGGGCCTGGGGAGCTGGACCTGTGCTGAGCAGGAGAAAGTTCCAGCCCGAGTTCCCCAGTGGGGATGCGGCCCAGCTTGTCAAATCTTCTGCCTTCCAAGAGGAGCCACAACTCCAGGGTTTTGTTGGTTTTCAGTGACTATTTCCCACTGTTAAATCTGAGCTCAGGTTTTTGAGGGCTTTTAACCACAGTGTATGAGTGAAAGAAAATTTATTGGCCGCTGAAGTTGATTTTCTTGTGGGAACGTTAATCCTGAGCACAGCCAAGCTCAGGGAGAACAAGGAGGTGTGTGTTGGTGTTCCCTGGACCAACAGTTGCCTACCTGCTAGGACAGGATGACTCGTTAGCTCCCCAAGAAAAAATAACGAAAATACCAAGACTGTTTTGAGATGTGTATTTTATATTATTTTTTTTTAAATATATTTTATTGATTTTTTACAGAGAGGAAGGGAGAGAGATAGAGAGTCAGAAACATCGATGAGAGAGAAACATCGATCAGCCGCCTCCTGCACATCCCCCACCGGGGATGTGCCCGCAACCCAGGTACATGCCCTTGACCGGAATCGAACCTGGGACCTTTCAGTCCGCAGGCTGACGCTCTATCCACTGAGCCAAACCGATTTCGGCGAGATGTGTATTTTAATCTCAGGTAAATTAACTGGACTCTGGATTCCTAAAGGGCAGAAGCCAATTTCATTTCTGTCTTTTGCCGTAGAGGAGGGCTATAGCAGATACTAGGTCGAGATTAGCTGAATAAAAGGGCATTCATTCAACAATGAATACTGTGACCCAGGAAGTGTTCCAGCAGTGAGCAGAGACTCTGTGCTCAGTAAGTAGGGGAGACAGGCAAACAGATTAATTCATTCCTGTGATATTAAGTGGTGGTGAGTGCTATGGAGAAAGGGTGCAGGTGAGGGAACCCGTGGGGAGGGGTGCTCGTTTCGACATGGTGGTCTTCGCTGTGGAGGTAACATTAGAGCAGAGACTTGCACAGAGTGAGGGCCGGCCCTGAGGTTACCTAGGGGAAGAGCGTTCAAAGCAGAGCGAATAGCAGATGCGAAGGCCCCACAGAAGCCAGTGCCCAGTGAGTTAGAGGAGCCGCCGAAGGCCGTCGTGGCCCGAGCACAGTGAGCGGGCAGAGTAAGGAGGTGTGCGGGAGATGGAATGCCATGCGGGCCAGGAGAGAACGCTCACCGCCTGTGGCTCTGCACGGGGCACGAGGGGGTGCTGACGAACAGGTCCTGCTCTCGCAGAGCCCCTGGTGCAGCACGCATGTGTGAATGACGCTCACCCTAGCGTTTTGGTGAGGCAGAGGGCAGCTGCCCAGGCACCCCAGGGTGGCTGACCTGGAACTGCTTGCTTCAGGAAGTCACTCTTCCGGGTTTTGTTTTGTTTTTGTTTTTGTTGGTTTTTTTTTGGGGGGGGGGTTGTTATGTAATTCACGTAATACGAAATTCACCATTTCAAAATGTACAGTTCAGTGATTTAGTCTAGTCACCATGTTGTGCAGCCATCGCCACTCTCTAATTCCAGAACATTCCCATCACTCCAACACGAAACCCAGGACCTATTCGTCCCCCGCAGCCCCTGGCACCGCTCATCTGCTCCTGTCCCCGGGTTTGCCTGTTCTGGACATTTCATATAAGAGGGATTACGCAGTATGTGGCTGTGATGACTGGCTTTTACTTAGTGTAAGTTCGTCTGTGTGGTAGCGTATGTCAGCACTTCATTCCTCTTTAGGACGGTCATTGTGCAGAAATACCACATTTTGCTTATCCATTCACCTGAGGGGGGCATTTGGCTTTTTTCCACTTTTTGGCTGAGTCACTGCTGTGAGCATGTGTGTCCTAGTCTTTATGTGAACATACATTTTCAGTTCCTCTAGTGGTGTTACTCTGAAGCCCTGGGCGTTCCACACGCTGAACACATTCAGGTAGATCAGGAAGGGACCCCAGTGTACCTAACCCAACCTTCTCTTCTGACAGATGAAGAAGCGGAGGCCCAGTGGGAGAGGGAGCTGAGTAATACCAATACCGCCAAAGCTGGCTGAGCGCCTGGCACATACCAGGCAGCGCACAAAGCGCGTGACCAGCCTCAGGAGAAGGCACCATTTGTGTGCTTTTACAAATGAGGACACGGGGGCTCTGAACAGCCAGTGCGTCTGAACCCGGCCTGTCTCCTCCCGAGTTTGTGTGAACGTCGGGTGTGCGGGATTGCTCCTAATTCATTTGAAAGCTTTTTGAGGGCAGAATGGCTATCATTCAACTCTTCTGTGTCCCCTCTGCCCCCTCCTGGAAGCGTGCACAGTTCAGCACGTCTTCTGTGACCTGAGGCACCTGGACCGTGGGCTGGGGGTTTGGCTGATAATAGATCACATTTCCTCCCAAGGCTTGTAGTGCAGCTGCTAGAGGGCTACGTGCTTTGTGAGCACTGATGCTTTTTAAAACAATATTTCTATTGATTTTTAGAGAGAGGAAGGGAGGGGGAGAGAGAGAAACATTGACGCTGCTGCCTCCTGCACACCCCACCAGGCATCAAGCCCACAGCCCAAGAGTGCCCTGACTGGGACTCGAACCAGCAACCTTTCAGTGCATGGAATGCCCAACCATCAGCCATACCGCCCAGGGCCCACTGATGCTTTTAGTTCTCAGTCACTCTGCACAGTAAGCTGTCGGCTACACTTTTCAGAAAAGGGAGTGCAAAGAGGCAGTACAGGGAGTGGTTAAGAGCATGGACTCTGGGCCAGTTCACCTGGGTGTGAATCCAGTTGTGCCCCTTATCCTTGGCCAAGTTATCTGACAAAGTCCCTCTGTGCCTCCGTGTCCTCGTTAGGGAATGGGGATAATAATGACATCTTCCTGGTGTGGTGGTTCTGAGGCTTAGTGAAGATCACAAAATAGAAAAGCAGCTGGCAGGTGCTTAGCACTCTGGTGCTCCCGCACCTGGATCCCTGTCACAGACAAAGCCCGGAGTCCAGCCAGGCCTGATGGGCTGTGCCCTGAACCACACTCTTCCTCCTGAGTCGGCTGGTCCAGGCCTGGGCGGGTTTCCCCTCCCCAGGGAAAAGGTGGTTGGAGAGGAAGTGCAGTTGGGAGTGTGGACGTGGAGCCAGCACGCCTCCGCCCGACTCCTCATCCACCAGGCTGCGTGGCCTTGAGCGTGGGACCTCTGTGCCTGAATTTTCATCTGCGAAAGGGAAGTCGTGATAGTACTGGACTCACACGTTGTTGGGAGGACTAAAAGCTTTACTCTGTTTGCCAAGCCCTTAGAGCAGTGCCTGAGAGCCAGTGTCGCATGCATCTCATTACTTGGTGATTGCTCTCTCCATGCTCCAGGCATCCCCCCTGATGAGAGCCCACACCGGGGAGGCCCCAGGGGGCCCTACCTGCAGTCCCAGCGGCTGGAGCTGTACGCCCAGGCCGCGGAAGCTCTGCTGAAGACCGGGGCTGCTTACCCCTGCTTCTGCTCTTCACAGCGGCTGGAGCTGCTGAAGAAGGAGGCCCTGAGGAGCCGGCAGACACCCCGGTGAGAGCCCCAGCCCGTCGTGCTGCCTCCCCAAAGTCGGGTGTGTTTGTTAGCTGTTACTGCAGAACAAGTTACCCCCAAACTTTTACGGTCTCACAGTTTCTATGGGTCAGGACGCTGGGCATGCTCACCTGGACCTTTAGCTCAGGGTCGCTCCCAAGGCTCAGCTCTCGGAGGATCTGCTTCCGTTTCCCTGGAGACTGTCGGCAGACCTCAGGGCATCCTGGCTGTTGCCTGGATACATCTGCTCCTTGCCACACGGGCCTCCCCTAGGGCAGCTCACAGCATAGCCCGGGCTTTCCTCCGAGAGACCAGGGAGAAAGCAAGAGAGTGAGACAGAGGCCAGAGTGACAGCTCATCACTGGTTGTACACTGTTCATTAGGAGGCAGTCACCAGGTCCAGCCCATACTCACAGGAAGGGGATGGCACCAGGACAGAAACCAGCAGGTGGGGGTCACGGGGTCCAGGTCTGAGCTGCCAACCGCCTTCGGTCCTAGGGAGTAACACATCAAGTAGCTTTAGTGATTTGTTATTTTGACGAAGTAGGATTTTCTCATGTTCAGGAAAATAGATACACAGAGCTCCGTCCCAACACTGACCCTACCTACTCAGATCCTCTCCAGACACAGCTGGTGTTAGAACTTGCTCGTGTCTCCTGCAGAGGCATCAGTACGTACACTGATACATGCCTGTTATTTCTCTTCCCCCTGCAAATGGTAGCACAGTGAGCACTGTGCGACTTCTTGTCTCAAGGATCAGTCTGTATCAGTCCACAGTTTTTTTGTTTTGTGAGTTTTTTTGTTTTGTTTTTTTAGTCCACAGTTTTTTTTATGCTTACATGGTATTCCATTGTATGGATATACCATCATTTACTTAATCAGTTCCTTAATAATGAACCTTTACTGGTATGTCATTTGTAGTATTTGTTATAAAAAAGAGAGCTGTGCCCTAGCCAAGTTGGTTGCATACACCAAAAAGTTGTGGGTTCAATTGCTGGTCAGGGCACATACCTAGGTTGTGGGTTCAATCCCAATCTGGACACGTGTGGGAGGCAATCAGTCAATCAATGTTTCTCTCTTACATTGATGTTTTTCTCTCTCTTCCTCTCTCCCTCTCTCTCTGAAAATCAATAAAAACATATCCTTGGGTGAGGATTAAACAAAAGAGAGCTGTGCCTGGCCGGTGTAGCTCAGTGGTTGAGCATCGACCTATGAACCAGGAGGTCACGGCTCGATTCCCAATCAGGGCACATGCCTGGGTTGCGGGCTCGATCCCCAGTGTGGGGCGTGCAGGAGGCAGCCGATCAATGATTCTCTCTTATCATTGATGTTTCTCTTTCTCCTCCCTTCCTCTCTGAAATCAATAAAAATATGTGTGTGTTTTTTAAAAGAAAGAGCTGTGACAAAGGATGTTGACAGGCATCCTTTGCACACATGCAGTGTGTTGTTAGAAACCTTCCAAGACGTGCTGCCTGGTGGCCCTGCACTAGCTGCACTCCCATCAGCGGTGGCCTCATAACTTAAGTTCCAGTTTCAGTGAACCGTTTGCACAAGGGCTCAGATGTTTGGATAAGTTCACGACATCCACTGCAGCACTGCTTCTTCATTCTAAACCCTGTACTTACCCACCCACAGAAGGTGGCTTTTTTTGCCCAAGATCATATGATCTTCAGAGACACAGGGAGGGCTCATGCCCATCATCAGTGTTGTTAGCAACCATGCTGCTCTACTTCCCAACAGGTATGACAATCGGTGCCGGAACCTGAGCCAGAGGCAGGTAGCTGAGAAGTTGGCCAAGGACCCCAAGCCTGCTATCCGCTTTCGCCTGGAGGAGGAGGCACCAGCCTTCCAGGACTTGGTATACGGCTGGAATCGGCATGAAGTGGCCAGTGTGGAGGGGGACCCGGTCATCCTGAAGAGCGATGGCTTCCCCACCTACCACCTGGCCTGCGTGGTGGATGACCACCACATGGGCATCAGCCACGTGCTGCGTGGCTCGGAGTGGCTGGTCTCCACTTCCAAGCACCTGCTGCTCTACCAGGCCCTGGGCTGGCCGCCACCTCGCTTTGCCCACCTGCCCCTGCTCCTCAACAGGGACGGCAGTAAGCTGTCCAAGAGGCAAGGGGACATTTTCCTGGAGAGTTTTGCTGCTGCCGGCTTCCTACCAGATGCCTTGCTCGACATCATCACTAACTGTGGCTCAGGGTTCCCAGGTATCCACTCACCTGAGAGTTCCCGGTGGGACCACAGCAGTGAGGCGCCAGGACTTGGGTGCAGGCCCACCTGGTCTGCAGTCCGGCTGTGCCACCTCCCAGCTGCGTCAACTTGCACGAGTTCATGCTTTCATTCCACAAATGTTTACTGAGCCAGACACTGTCAAGTACAGTTGGGCCTTGACTTTCGAGTTTAATTTGTTCCGAGACCGAGCTCGTTAAGGAGCTCGTTAACTCAAATTACTCTATCAACTCAATGCAAAAAATCAGCCGAGAGACAGCTGGTATCTCAAAAAACTCGTTAGTCGGGACACTCGTAAGTCAAGGCCCCACTGTACTGGGGCTCCAACAGTGAAAAGACAGGCATAATCCCTGCCCTCAAGGAGCTTGCAGTCTCAGTCTTGGTTGCCTCATCTATAAAGTGGGGCTAAGTGTCTACCTCTTAGGCATAAGTTAAGATTCACTGAGCTCATGAGTGTAAGGCCCCCAGCACAGTATCTCCCACAGTAGGTGCAAAAATTACAGCTGCTGTGATTTTTACAATTATAGTACAGTGGGGCCTTGACTTAAAGTGTCCCGACTAACGAGTTTTTTGAGATACCAGCTGTCTCTCGGCAGATTTTTTGCATTGAGGTGATAGAGTAATTTGGAGCTCGGTCTCAGAACGAATTAAACTCGTAAGTCAAGGCCCCATTGTACTACTATAACAGTATCACTAGTATTACTGGGACCATAGTTTATTCCAAGTTAAGCCTTTATCCTTGGCCCAAGACTTAGAGCCCAAATCTTAAAGAAGCACCAAATAGGCTAGGATGACCTCTTTGTGGGGGAGATTTCTGATAATGAGGCAATAATATCTGCTTATTGTTTATTCTGCTCTTATTCAGTCCTTAACATATCCTTGGGAGGTACGATCTCCACGGTTTGTAAGAGGATTGGGAGTCTCAGAGAGGTTAGGGAATTTGCCAGTGTCCCAGCTAGTGGGGGATGTGATAGGTTATTGTCGGCTGAAGTCCCCACGATGCCCAGTGGGACAGCTGCTGCTCAGAGAAGCAGCCCTGCACAGCCCGCTCAACTCTGGCTGCGCTTGGACTCATGGGAAGCTCCTAGAGCACTGGGGCCAGACCCCACCGGACCAGTAGGGTCAGGGGCTCGGAATGGCCAGACAGTGGGTGCTGTCCCTGCAGCTCATGTCTCTGAGGGCAGAGTGGTTAAACCATTTTTCACGCCATTTTTTTCCTTAGTGACAGAAGCCTTTCTGCAAGTGAAAACTCATTTGGGCCTTTGATGTAAAAACAGCTGGAGGTTGAGTCCCTTTGGTGGAAATGGGATGGGGAGCCCAGTGCTCACTCAGCCTCCCTTGGAGTTGAACGTCGGAGGGAGTTGAGCGCTGGGCTTCCCTCACTTGCAGAGAACCAGATGGGCAGGACCTTGCCAGAGCTGGTAGCACAGTTTGACCTGACCCGGATCACCTGCCACTCGGCCCTGCTAGACCTGGAGAAGCTTCCAGAATTCAACAGGTGAGTGGGGAACTAGAGAGCCCTGCTGGAAGGGGCTTTCTTGCTGACGATGGGGCCCCACAGGTCCTGTCGGCTCCACAGTCGCATACACCTGATTTTGGCTGAGCTCAGGTGTTTAGTGCTGTGTGACCACAGGCAGTCACCTCACCTCTTCAGACCTGTTTCCTCTTCTCTAAAACGGAGCTAGTAAGAGTTCCCACCCTGTGCAATTGTTTTAAGAGTTAAATTCAGCGTTACATCAAAGTATCTGCACAGCACCCGGCACATAGAAAGTGTTCGACCAATGGTAGGTATCCTTTTATCATTACCATTATTCCTGTGTACCCCTCGTGTGGGTTCTGTTGACTACCAAAGCCTGGGGAGCATCTTCATTTTAGAACATCTCCCCGCTCCCTAACCCCCGATCTCCCAGCCAACACTGAGGAGCACTGTCTCTCATGTCACCCGCCAACACGGAGGAGCACTGTCTCTCATGTCACCCGCCAACATGGAGGAGCACTGTCTCTCATGTCACCCACCAACACGGAGGAGCACTGTCTCATGTCACCCAACAACACGGAGAAGCACTGTCTCGTGTCACCCACCAACATGGAGGAGCACTGTCTCTCATGTCACCCACCAACATGAAGGAGCACTGTCTCATGTCACCACCAACATTTCTGTTGACTACCAAAGCCTGGGGAGCATCTTCATTTTAGAACATCTCCCCGCTCCCTAACCCCCGATCTCCCAGCCAACACTGAGGAGCACTGTCTCTCATGTCACCCGCCAACACGAAGAAGCACTGTCTCATGTCACCCGCCAACGCTGAGGAGCACTATCTCTCATGTCACCCTCCAACACGGAGGAGCACTGTCTCATGTCACCCACCAACACGGAGGAGCACTGTCTCATGTCACCCACGAACACGGAGGAGCACTGTCTCATGTCACCCACGAACACGGAGGAGCACTGTCTCATGTCACCCACGAACACGGAGGAGCACTGTCTCATGTCACCCACGAACACGGAGGAGCACTGTCTCATGTCACCCACGAACACGGAGGAGCACTGTCTCATGTCACCCACGAACACGGAGGAGCACTGTCTCATGTCACCCACGAACACGGAGGAGCACTGTCTCATGTCACCCACGAACACGGAGGAGCACTGTCTCATGTCACCCACGAACACGGAGGAGCACTGTCTCATGTCACCCACGAACACGGAGGAGCACTGTCTCATGTCACCCGCCAACACAGAGGAGCACTGTCTGGTGTCACCGCCAATACTGAGGAGCACTATCTCTCATGTCACCCGCCAACACGGAGGAGCACTGTCTCATGTCACCCACCAACACGAAGGAGCACTGTCTCATGTCACCCGCCAACACGAGGAGCACTGTCTCATGTCACCCACCAACACGGAGGAGCACTGTCTCTCATGTCACCCGCTAACACTGAGGAGCACTGTCTCCTGTCACCTCCATGTGTCAAGGGTCCTTCACTCAGAAACCTTCAGACACAGTTACCCTTCCCATCACTGCTGACATGTCCCAGTCTAAGGGACTGGGTGGCACACCGCAGGCAGGTTTGCAGTCACGGTTGCAGCAACTCCTTGCACCTTCCCTGAAGCACTGGGGGACCGGCTCTCCTTGGTGCCCTCCTTGCGTGAGTGCCCAGGACTGCAAACCGGAAATCTTTGTTAACTGGGCACGTCTACTCTGCTCAGTCCAACTGAGGTATGGGGAACAAGGGCCCTTTGCAGCCAAGAGAAGTCAGAAATCTTTTTTTATTGAATGATTGATTTTTTTTTTAGAAGGGGAGAGAGAAAGGTCAATTTGTTTTTCCACTTATTTATGCATTCATTGGTTGATTCTTTTATGTGCCCTGACCAGAGATTGAACCTGAAACCTTGGCTGGTGTATTGGGATGAAGCTATAACCAACTGAACTACCCAGCCAAGGCCAGAAATATCTTATTTTTGTGTGATCTCTTTCTAGTTTAAAAATGTTAGCTATTATTTTTTTACTAGAGGCCAATGCACGAATTCGTGTACGGGTGGGGTATCTTGGCCTAGCTGGCGATTGGGCCGATCAGGGCCCATCTCACCCAGTCCTGATCAAGCGCATTGGGCCGACCAGCCAGGGGTAGGGACTGCGGGAGGTTGGCTGTGGGAGCACACTGACCACCAGGGGGCAGCTCCTGCATTGAGCATCTGCTGCCTGGTGGTCAATGAGCGTCATAGCTATCAGTCGTTCTGTCGCTTAGGTTTATATGTATAGATTGTTGATCCTCACCCGAGGATATTTTTCCTTTGATTTTTTTTTTTTTTTTTGAGTGGAGAGTGGGAGGGGTGGGGAGAGATAGAGAGAAAGACACATTGATTGCCTCCCACACGCACCCTGACCAGGGCTGGGGATCATGCCTGCAACCAAGGTATGTGCCCTTGACCAGAATCAAACCCGGGACCCTTCAATCCGCAGGCCAAACTGGCTAGGGCATGTTAGCTAAGAATCAAACCCGGGACCCTTCAGTCCGCAGGCCAAACTGGCTAGGGCATGTTAGCTATTTTAAAAGCAGCATGTATCTGGGTTGCTTGGGGCCCTCAGGCTACCTGTTTCAGACCTTGGCCAGATCTCTTTCCTTCTGTAAGTGTAGAGAACTCCTTTGGCTTTTCCTCCAGGCTGCACCTTCGTCGGCTGGTGAGCAATGAGACCCAGAGGCGCCAGCTGGTGGAAAAGCTGCAGCTGCTCGTGGAGGAGGCATTTGGGAGCCAGCTGCCAGACAGGGCTGTCCTGGACCCAGCCTATGTGGAGAGGATCATCTTGCTGAGACAGGTGGGGCTGGGAGCTCCAGGAGACCAAGGGAGTGGAGCCCCCCATTTCTCCCCTTCCAACGTGTCAGCCCTGTCCCCAGTGCACTGAATGGCTGCCTCTTTCTCCAGGGTCACATTTGCCGCTTGCAGGATTTGGTCTCCCCAGCACACGCCTTCCTGTGGACTCGTCCTGCTGTGGGTCGCACGCAGCTGGGTGCCATCTCAGAGCAGGTGGATGTGATTGCCAAGCGCGTGCTGAGGTGAGTTCGCGCAGGCCAAGCTCAAGGTTCTGTACCCTCTTTCCCCCTCCCCTGCCTGGGTCCCCCTTTACCCCAGGGCTGGGCAGTTGGGCTCCAGCACAACCCGTGGCCAGTGAGAGGTTTGGGGGAGCTAATCACTCACCAACGCTCTTGGTAGGTGGGGAGCCTGGAGGAGCCCAGGCTCTCCCCGGAAGAGATGATGCATTCAGGTTCTAGGGCTGGATCCACCTGGGTTCCATTCTGGCTCCACCTGTTACTCACCCAGTTAGTTCACCTGCCCAGATGGCTTCACATCCGCCAAGTTACTGCACCTGTTTGAGCATCGTTTCCTCATCTGAAAGGTGCAGGTGAAACTATTGCTTACTGTAACAGTACCAGAACACTTGTGATGAAAAGGGCGGAAAACAGCCATGGAGAAGGACTGGTCTGTGTAATTGTGTGGTCAGAACAAGGGCTGACTTGAGGCTAATGCATGGCCCAAAAATACATCACCAAAGCCCAATTTCTCTATCTTTTTTACTCTGCCCACACTCCTCCATGCTGGCTGCTCTGGTAGATGGAGAACGGGTTTCTCTCCCGCTACCGAGTGTACTTCTCTTCACCTAACAGTCCAGGGGCGAACAGCTCTCCTCCTTGTCTCCAGTGTCCTGCCATCCCTAGATTTTGTTCCTGTCCCTGTGGTCCACGGTGGCCCACGGACCATCCAGGATTCAGCCAGAGAAGGAAGAAGGAAAGAGGAGGCAGACAGGACATTTCTCCCCCTTAAGGACTTAAAAGCTATCCCGCTAGCTGGAACTCTGTCTTAAGGCCATGCCACGCCTAAGGAAGCCTGGAAAATGTACTTTATTTACTTGGCAACCATGTGCCTAGCTAAAAATTTTGTTACTACATACAAAAGCGAAAAAATAACTTGTCTAAAATGATCCAGCTAGCCCGGCCAGTGTGCTCAGTGGTTAGAGTGTTGGCATGCACACCAAGGGCCATGGGCTCAGTTCCCAGTGAGGGGCACGTACCTGGGTTGCAGGTTCTCCGGCCCTGATTGTTTGTGGGCAAGAGACAGCTAATCGGTGAGTCCCTCTCACATCAATGTTTCTCTCTCTCTTTCTCTCTCTCTTCCCCCTCCCACTCTCTCTAAAAAATCAATGGAAAAATATCCTCAGGTGAGTATTAACAACAACAAAAAGGAATACAAGCATGTGACAAGAAATATAAATGGTACATCCCTGGCCGGGTAGCTCAGTTGGTTGGATCATCGTCCCAGTGCCCCAAGGTTGAGGGTTCCATCCCTGGTCAATGCACATACAGGAATCAACCAATGAATGCAAAAATAAGTGGAACAACTAAATCAATCAATCAATCAATCTCTTACATCAATACATTTTGTAAAAATTTTAAAAAAAGAAATACAAATGGTACAAGAGGGTTTATAGCAAAAACTAAGTCTTCCCTCCTACTCCAGCTCCCGACAGAAAGGCAGCCACACTTAGCAGTTTCCTTTGTGAATTGTCTATATTCAAGGATATGTATATACAACTCTAGTCCTATAATTTTTTAATTTTGAAATTTAACATTTTGGTTATTAATACATTCAAACCTCTTAAGCCTGGATTTAAAACCTAGAAATGATAAGGTATATATTTAGGGAGTCCTGTTTTTAATTCTTGTCCCAGTTCCAAAACCCTCTGTATGTTACGACTAGTCTTAATTATGTCTAAATAATCCTTATCTTCCCCTTTTTTTACACAAAAGGTACAATACAAGAACACCATTCTGTGTCTTTTTTTCCTTTTACTTAATATATATTTTGACCTATCCAGTTCTTAGAGAGCATCCTCATTCTTCCCTACAGCTACACCTACCCCATCACTATACCACTTTGCCACGATTTATTTAACACCCTCCTGCTGATGGACATTTGATTGCTTCCAGATTTTGCTGTTACAAACAATGCCGCAATGAGTAACCTTACCTAGACACCATTAACATGTTTGCAAGTATAGCTCCAAGATAAGTTCCCAAGAGCTATTATTAGTAATAATGCTCCCTTAATTTTGGGCATTCCACTCTAGGGGCTATTGGTTGTTATTCACTGGAAGTAATGTCATGACTCCCCGTCCTGACACAGGCATTGTTTTTAGAGGCACTCTGGTGCTCCCACTTGAGGCAGGAAAGCTGATACACAAATGATCGGAAGCTGCCAGATCTCTCAAAGTCCTGTGCCCACGCCAAGCTGCCAGCCAGCTCTCACGTGTCCTGGGCTGCCCAGGACCTGTCCCTTTCACCTGCTCCTTGGCAGGTTGCTCCCTGCAGTGACATTGAGGAGAGTGTCTATTTTTCCCGACATTTTATATTTTCAATATTTTGTCTTCTCCATTTCATAAATAACAGCAATCATGTTATCCAGTTAATGATGCAATAAGAATGATTACTTCTGTCTCCCGTTGGAACTCAGTTGCTCAAGTTTTGGAGTTAGTAGGAGATGTCTGTGCTGAAAGGCTATTTGTTCAGATAACTTAGGAACCCGTACCCTGCGCCAGCAGCACTGCACACTGAGCAGCCTCTGGGGTGGAGCTGTCCGTTCCCCGTTGTGAGCAGGTGGTGTCGGAGGGGCATCGTGGACCATCTGCCTGAGTCCCTGGTCAGTGTGGGACAGACTCGCCACCCTGCCTCCGTCTCTTGCTCTAACTTCAGAGCAGGGCTGGGGTGAAGTTTTTGCAAGTCCAGCTCTAACAATAGGAAATTCCTCTTGAGCTCAAACATACTTTTGGGAGATCTCGGCCGGACTGCCAGGAAAGGGCAATGATTGCTGGTCCCTGGAGCTTAGGTCCTTACATGCTTCCATCTGTGGGCAGAGGATGGTTGTGACAAGTCGGTGGCAGGGTCCTCACTGGGGCTGCGGTCTCCTGATTGCCTCCTCTCTGCTCTTCTATGTTACATCCAGCAGTCTCCCCATGCCCAGTCTTGGAGCTGTTTCAGATCATTCCCAGAGGGCTCCATACTTCCAGCCTACATCTAACCCAGTCCTGAGTTTCTTTATAGATACTTTTGCAAAGTCTCAGAGCTCTTGGGTGTAGTAATATTGGCTAATAACTAGCTTTTTATTGAAATACTAGAGGCCTGGTGCACGGATTTGTCTCTTGCTCTAAGTGACCATTTGACCGGTAGCTATGATGCACACTGACCACCAGGATCTCACAATCCGGGACCCCTTGGGGGATGTCGAACTGCCAATTTCGGCCCAATCCCTGCAGGCCAGGCCAAGGGACCCCACCAGTGCACAAATCCATGCACCGGGCCTCTAGTATGCATATAAGATCTTTGGTTAATCTCTTCCCATCCTCCCCCCTCCCCGCTTCCCTCTGAGATTCATCAGTCTGTTCCATGTTTCCATGCCTGTGTGTTGAGTGTCTGCCCCCTGGTGGTCAGTGCACATCATAGCTACTGGTCAAACAGTCGCTTACGCTTTTATATATTATAGATCAGACCTAATACTTTTGAGTACTTACTACCCGTTCAAGCAATGTACTTAGTGCTTTGCTTGTTTTAATGTAGGCACAGCGTAGTTCTGTGAGGTGCAGACCCACAGGTGAGAAAACGAGGCATAGAGATGACCTGCACAGAGGCAGCAGTTACAGCAGTTAGTAAATCCTCTTATTTTGGTACCCACTTCGTTTCCCTATGTGATGCCCACATGCTGGGACTCTCTGCTATACGGTACCCTGGTGGTTTTTTTCTTCCCCAGCTTGGGTGGGTCGCATGTGGTAGATCCTCCCTCCCCCCCCCGCTCCCCAGGCTGGCCTGAACATTGACTGTGCCTTTATGTTGTCACTAATTGATAGTCTTCCGAAGTTCTCCCTCCCACTCACTTGCATTGGCCCCTGTGGGCCCCTCACAGACTGGCCCACTTCTAGGCTTTTAGAAGGACCTGGCGCCAGCTTAACTCAGGACGTGCTGAACGCAGAACTGAAGAAGCTGTCCGAAGGTCTGCCCGGCACCAAGCACAGTAACGTGATGAAACTCCTCCGAGTGGCCCTCAGTGGACAGCCGGTGAGACAGGCAGATGGGCTGGACTGTTCCCGGGAGCCCTCACTTATCCATTCAGCTAACATTCACCAGCAGCTCATCTTTCATACAACGATGAGTGAAACATGAGCACTCCCCTCACCCACTCATTCAACAGCACCTATTGAGTGCCTCCTGTGCCAGTGCCGCTAGGTACAGAGGATACAGTAGTGAATCAAACACGCACACTCCCTCCCGTCATCCTTCACAGAGCTGGCAGTTGATTGGAGGTAACAGACATGTCAATACAGAAAGAAGAGGCTCCGGGGATGCAGCCTCGGCCTCAGAAATCAAAGACAGTGAAGTGCAGTCTCTGCCCTGGGGTACAGGCAGCGGTGTGGGGTTGGCTGGGGTATGACTGCAGACCAAGGCTGGGCTCATAGGCGATGTTTTCTCTTTCTGTCCTCAGCAAGGACCGCCTGTAGCTGAGATGATGGTGTCCTTGGGACCAAAAGAAGTGCGGGAACGCATACAGAAGGTGCTGTCCAGCTGACGGGAGATGTGCCCGGCGGTGGAGGTGGCTAGGGACCTGTGCGTGTGGAGACGGCCTTCGGAGGAGGAGTGGGTCCTGGGACCCATCGGGAACTTGTAACAGGAACCAGAGTCTGGGTGCACACAGTGAACACATGGCTCCACGCAGCCCCGTCCTCGCCCGCTGGCGGGGAAGCCCAGCATCTTCTCAGCTCCCTGAGTCTAGAGAGGAAGGCTCATGTCTGGCTCCGATACCACACTGCATGGCAGAGGTTTCAAGCTGGTTCCTAGAACAGTCCAGAGGGCTCTTGTTTAGGCCGCCCGAGCTGCGTGACAAGAAGCCACAGAGTTGGGGGCTTAAACAACGGAAAATTACTTTCTCACTGTTCAGGAGGCTGGAAGTCTAAAAGGCAGGTTTCTTTGCTCCTTGGCTTGCTGATGGCTGCTTTCTGCTGTCCGTACTGGTCATCGCCCTGGGTGTGCCCGTGGTGCCTCTGGGTGTCCAAATGTCTTCTTAGGACAGCAGTCAGATGGGATTAGCACCCACCCTGACAGCCCGGTTATACCTTAATCACTTCTTTAAAGGCTGCTCATACCCTTACATGCTGAGGTCTCGGCGTTAGGGCTTCAGCGTGACTGGTCATCGCCCTGGGTGTGCCCGTGGTGCCTCTGGGTGTCCAAATGTCGTCTTCTTAGGACAGCGGTCAGATGGGATTAGCACCCACCCTGACAGCCCGGTTTTACCTTAATCACTTCTTTAAAGGCTGCTCATACAGTTACATGCTGAGGTCTCGGCGTTAGGGCTTCAGCGTACGACTTTTGAGGGGACACAGTTCAGTGCGTGACAGCTTGGCAGCAGCCTGGACTCAGTTCTCGGCCCAGCTTGGACTCTGAGTGGCAGGGCTGAGCTGAAAGTCACTTTCTCTGGAGCTCATCAGGGGACAAGACTCATCTGTCAGGGTGGGCTGGGGGGGAGCACTTATGTCTTACACTTGTTTTTGTCCGGCACTTGGGGCAGCCTGCCTCCCTTCCCTACAGGCTGTCTGCTGCTCTCCCAGTTCTTCAGACCTGCTCCTTGAACTGAGGCCTTCACCCTGCCTATCCTCATCTTATTCACATCTGCCTCCTTATATCCATGACTGTGTGAAATGAGATGTTCTTGGGGTGAAGAGAAATAGCTAAATAAAAGGAAGACAGTGGCTGGGAACAGAGACCCACAGGGCTTCTAGGTGTCCGGTGGCAGCCAGCCTCTGAGAGGCCCCAGTCATTGCTCCCTCTTGGTGTTCACCCCAAATAGGGCTGAGTTGAGATGCATCCTGGCTTCCTTGTTCTCTTGGATCCCTTACTCTGCGGGAAACCACTTCCACAGGAAGACTCTCCAGCAGCCCTGTGGAGAGGCCCATGTGGCAGGAACCGAGGCCTCCTGCCTGCAGCCAGGCGCGTGCCCATCTCGGAAGTCGGTCTTCCAGCCCCAGCCACGCCTTCGGATGACCACATTCTGACCGATGTCTCGACTGCAACCTTCACGAAAGAGCCTTAGCCACAACCACGAAGCAAGGCTGCTCTCAGATTTCAGACACACAGAAATGACAAGATAATCGGCGTTCATTGTCTACAGCCACTAGGTTTTGCCCTGCCGGGTGGCCCGGTTGGTCAGAGCACCATCCTGATGTACCAAGGCTGCAGGTTCAGTCTCTGGTCAGGACACATGCAGGGAGCAACAGTGGGTGCGTGGGTGGAGTAACACATTGATGTTTCTCTCCCTCCCCCTCTCCCTCAAATAAGTCAATAATAAAGCTACTAGGTTTTGGGATAATTTGTTGCCCAGCAAGTGTTACCTCTTACCCTCTCCTTGTCCACGGGAGAAGGGAAAGGGGATAAAGAATTTGATGAGCCTGGCTGGTGTGGCTCAGTGGCTAAGCATCGACCTAAGAACCAGGAGATCATGGTTCATTCCCAGTCAGGGCACATGCCTGGGTTGCGGGCTCCATTCTTGGTAGAGGTTGTGCAGGAGGCAGCCAATCGATGATTCTCTCATCGTTGGTGTTTCTGTCTCTCCCTCTCCCTCTCTGAAATCAATAAAAATAGGTTTTTAAAAAACGAATTTGTTGAGCTTCACAGAGACCTAGTCTTTTCTTGAAAAGTAGATCATGAAGTTCTGTGCAAGCAATGGCCACCAACTCCGCCTAACAGGTTTATTGGAGACTACATGCATGGAGTTTCGGTTGTGGGAGAGTCACAGAGTCTGTGGGAAAGCCAGAGACCGGGTCTGGCTGTGTAGGAGCAGGCGCCACGCCGGGCTCGCTGCAGTGGGGATGCGGGGACTGCAGCTCTTCTTTGTGGTTTGTCTCTGCATTTTCCCCTTCAGTTTTGGATGAGGCAGCGAAAGGTTCGGATGCTGGGAAGAGAGAGTTGCTGTTCCTTAGCTGGGAAGAGGTGTCCCTGCGGGATGCTGTCCAGTGGGTGGTAAAAATCTGTTCCCAAGGGAAAGTGTTTTTCCAAAAGGGGACACAGTAACAAGACGTGATTTGTTGTGCACTTGACTGAGGTGCAACCGTGTCTGGGTTTCAGAATTTGCTGAAATGCTTTAGTCCATTATTTCATCCAGTCTTCACAATCCCATGAGAGGCATTTTTATTTCTGTAATAGGGAAATGGAGTCACGAAAAGGTAATTAACTCTTCTGAGGCAAACTCAAGCTTATGACAACCCCCAGTCTGAGCTCAGCTCTTAACGACTGGGCGTCATCAGAGTCTCTGCTTCTCGGACGTGAAGGACAATTAGGAGGAACTGCCTCATGCCCTGGCTCGTGGTCCTGGGATGCGAACGTTTGACACGGAGTGATGAAAACGCCGAGCTGATAAAGTGCTGCCAGTTTCCCAGTTGGCGTCAGTTGTGTAAAGCAGCATATGCCTTTTGGACGAAGGGTTTTGCTCAGGACCAGTGGGATTTCACATGTTTAAAATAACCTCAGTGTTTTTAGAGTATAGTAAAACAGTGAGGGCCCTGGAGGCCCACTGCCTAGACCAGGGGTCCTCAAACTACGGCCCGCGGGCCACATGCAAATACAAATATTGTATTTGTTCCCGTTATGGTTTTTTACTTAAAAAGATATGTGCAGTGTGCATAGGAATTTGTTCATAGTTTTTTTTTAAACTATAGTCCAGCCCTCCAACGGTCTGAGGACAGTGAACTGTCCCCCTGTTTAAAAAGTTTGAGGACCCCTGGCCTAGACAAACACCTGGACAAAGTCCTGGCCAGGCCGGTGTCATCCTGTTCACCAAAAGGTTGCTGGTTTGATTCCAAGTCAGGTCACATGCCTGGGTTGTGGGTTTGATCCCCTGTAGGGGGCAAGCGGGAGGCAGCTGATGGATGTTTCACTCTCACATTGATGTTTCTCTCCCTTCCTCTCTAAAATTGAATCATCTTTTTTTTTTTTTAGATATTCAAATTCTTTTTTTTAATATATTTTATTAATTTTTTACAGAGAGGAAGGGAGAGAGATAGACAGTTAGAAACATCGATGAGAGAGAAACATCGATCAGCCGCCTCCTGCACATCTCCCACTGGGGATGTGCCCGCAACCCAGGTACATGCCCTTGACTGGAATCGAACCTGGGACCTTTCAGTCCGCAGGCCGACGCTCTATCCACTGAGCCAAACGGGTTTCGGCTGAATCATCTTTTTTTAAAAAAAAAAAAAGATATATATTTTATTGATTTTTTACAGAGAAGAAGGGAGAGGGATAGAGAGTTAGAAACATCGATGAGAGAGATCGATCAGCTGCCTCCTGCACGCCCCCTACTGGGGACGTGCCCACAACCAAGGTACATGCCCTTGACCGGAATCGAACCCGGGACCCCTCAGTCCGCAGGCCGATGCTCTATCCACTGAGCCAAACCGGTTCGGCTGAATCATCTTTTTAAAAAAGATCTTTTTTTATAAAGAAGCCCAGTCCTACCATTTATTCACTGTGACCTCTGTACCTCAGTTTCCTCACCTGTAAGTGGGAATAACAATGGTACCTGTCTCAAAGAGTTGTAAGGTTGGAAATACGTGACATATGCAAAATTCTGAACACAGTGCCTGGCACTTAACAACTGTCTACTGCCATCATTGTCATCACTGGTATTTTCTTTCTTAGAAATGGTAATCTTGGTTGCAAGGCATAGCAACAGAAGAATTCATTGGAAGAATTAGGAGTCTCTTGGATCCAAAGGCAGGACTTCTAGCTGCACCTTACAAGAGGCTGGAATCTACCTGGAGCCGAGGCACTGACTTTTGTCCCTCTGAGCTTGCAGTTTTCTAACATCTCTGTGTCTGCTCCCCTCATCCTGTGAGCTGGTCCTCTCTCTCTCTCTCTCTCTCTCTCTCTCTCTCTCTCTCTCTCTCTCTCTCCACTTGGCCAACAACTGCCTCAGCCCTAAAGTGGAATTGTCTCTCTTCTACACTACCAGTTACATAACTAGCATTCCATTTCCAAGTTCCCGGGAGAGACTCTGATTGGCCAGCTTGGACCAGCTGTCTACTCCTGGTCCAATCAACTGGCCAGTGGGACAGTCATGTACTAAGTTCAAGGCTGTAGGGGACCTACTCTAGTGAGTGGGACAGTGGTTCATTCCCCTGAGAGTGCAGTAAAACCTCAACATAAGGGACTCATTCAAGTGAGGGGGTGTTCATTAAAGCTGAAAGGCCGTTAATATAATAAAGTAGGTTTTCCATGTGCATGCTAAAAAATTCACAAATTAGTTTACCTGTTTTTAATTATGTAGACACGTTTATGTACATATGTATGAAAAGTTTAATTTCACAGAAAGTTTGCTATATGTACTACTGTAATTTTAAATTTATTCCGAATAGGTCTAAGTGTGTATATTCACCAGTCACCATGAGTAAACAGAGATGCGCATTGCACATGGGAACATGGGCCAGCTGGTGTTAAAACTGCTGCTGAAAGTCATGCCAGGGGACAACAGAACCAATTACCACGTGTGATGCAGTGTGGTCACATGCTAATCATTCACTGAACATTGTTTACAAGAGGTGACTCTTGGGTTTAAATATGTAGACTATAGTAGATATGTAATATTTATGTCAGTGAAATTACGATAGTGTTTTTTCCAACATATGGCCTATTCGCTAAAATTTGTTAAAAGTAGCTCTAACCAGTTTGGCTCAGTGGATAGAGCGTGACTGAAGGGTCCCGGGTTCAATTCCGGTCAAGGGCATGTACCTGGGTTGCAGGCTCATCCCCAGTAGGGGGTGTGCAGGAGGCAGCTGATCTATGTTTCTCTCTCAGCGATGTTTCTAACTCTCTATCCCTCTCCCTTCCTCTCTGTAAAAAATCAATAAAATATATTTTAAAAATAAATAAAATAAAATTTGTTAAAAGTAACAATAATGGTTGGTATGTGCTGCCGGCCCCAAAGGGGAAACAAAACAAAAACAGTAACAGTGAATGCTAACCAGGTTGCTCAGTGGTTAGAGTGTCAGCCCGCAGACTGAGGGTCCCGGGTTCGATTCCATTCAAGGGGACATACCTCAGTTGCAGGCTCCA